CAAGTAAGTTAATAAAACAAATTCATATCGAGTTGTATATGGTTAGTTAAATGCAACAGCGTATTATTTTACATTTTTTGTTTTTTTTTTTTTTTTTTGTTTTCAGAAATTGTTTATTCCAAGGTTTTGATAGTCCTTAAGCTCAAAGTTTATCTCAGCTTTGCTGAAAATATCATGCAAAGACAATTGGATCTTATACTTGTAGTTCAGCTTGCAGCTCTACATGCGACCTTTATGCACGCACCTGTGTATTGGTTGCTGCAGAGCTGATCCAGCTCGGTATGCACGAAAGTGGTCTGGACAACGCTCTGCGGTGACTGCAACACAGTATGGGTTCCTTTTCTTGGGCAAGAACCATAGGAAAGATGATTGCCCATACAACAGAACAGCAATTTTATCAGAGAAATTCGAGAGGCCACGGTAACCGACGTCGTTTACAAGAGTAAAAAGCAGTAAAACAACTTTCAGTTTGAGATGATGGATAGGTCCTATAGCTACACTTACTAAGTTAGTACGTATTTAAAGTGTATGTGCATGTGTGGAGGGGCATTTTCACCTTGTTAAATAAAATTGTTTCTTAGGATGCCCTGGCAGGAAGGCAGGTACATGGTTTTCAGAATATTCCTGTATTGGACGTGGTTTAGGTTTCGTTTCCATTGATGACTACCAATGGTCTCGAAATACCTATAGAACTCACTTACAGACTTTTGAAGAAGAGATGAAATGGCAACATATATTGCGTATTCTAGAAAAAATACCATTCTTGGAATTAAATATATTAGGCCTATTATACAGCATTGATGGCAAATCCCTGTAGGAACATTAACATTGATCCTGAACAGCTGTTAAATAAAGTCGTCTAATCTGAAAAACAGATCCAAAACACAGATTTACTCATTTCTTTTCCGTTTGTATGCGTGCAGAAATGCTTAACGAACTAATAATCTTATTACCCTTGAGAAAAAAGGCTCGAACTCATAAGCTAAACGGCCGCTCCTGTTGTCCGAGCTGTTAACAATGTTCCCGCTGTTCTCTTCCTTTCTATCCCTTACGGATTTTGCCTCATACGCTCACCCTTCCCCTTCTTTTGGAATATGCTTGACCCTTTGATTTGAGCGAGTTATGTTACAGGGTGACCAATACCACAATTGTTCTAAAAACCAATTCACCAGACAAAATGTTATTCCAGTCGGAAAGATAAATTGACGAACTGAAGTGAAATGCGTTGAAAATATGAACTGAACTCGACCGATTTGATTTTCGTAGGGGACAGTAAACCGGATTGGGATACTTGTGTTTTATATGTGTTAATACTAGTGATGGATCCAGCCTTTCCCCTGCCCCCCCCCCCCCCAAAAAAAAAAAAGAGGATAATGGGCGAAAAACCAAGAATATTATCTACCATGTGCCTTACAAAATAAATGTACATTTCATTTCCCCAAGCACCAATACAAGACAACAACCTCCAAAAACAATGAAAAGCAAAAGCATTTATCAGCTTGTAAAACTAAAATATATGAAGATACATATTGTTCTGAAAATTTTGCTATCACCAAAAATATAGCCAACATAAAAATAATTGACCTCCACAGACTCCGTAAAATTATGCAAACGTTTACACTGGAGATATAGTAAGATAAAGTTGTCAAGTTGACAATGGAAAAATCTTTGAGTCAGGAATGAGTTGAGTGTCCTCAGGGGGAAAGAACACGATATCAACAGTGCACATATACGTATATATGTATATACATGTATATGCACTGTTCTTACCAGTTCCAGATCCACGAGGGTCACAGATACTTTTTTACCACATACTCCCAGATATTTCTCTGGTTATTACGAGCACATTACTGTCCGGCAAGAATTTTTGCACAGAAATGACGTCATTGGTCACTCAGCTTCCCTCTGGTAGAGAGAAATATGTATATTTCTAATACATATAGCACTATACTAGTGTATGCTCAGATCCTGCACTATGCCAGCTAAAGTTGACTTCTTGATGGATATAGAAACTTCTCAGAGTGGGTCCAACACCCCGCTCATACAGATGTCTCTGATCTAAAAGGTGAAAAATAAAAGTATCAGAAAATGNCCGAAGTCGATTTGATATTGTGATTTGATGTTGATAGATCTTTTGGACATGAAATTTGAATCACAGCTAACTTAGTAAGCACAGAATCGCCGTCGATTCGGCTGTATGCCTGCATGCAGTGATTTTATTTTGCTTTCTTTTTATTACTGAAAGTCAAAGGAGAACAATAATTCCTAGTCATTTACCTGCTTATGTGAATAATATGGCCATCATCGACTTTTCGCTCTTTCATCGACTGCACAGCCATTTGGGTTACTATGGACAGGCCCATGATGTTGGTCTGAAAACGAAAATTTGGCATCAGTGAAACTTTTTTTGTTATTAAATTCAGTAAAGATCACACCAAATATCTATTCTAATGTTAAAATTTTCTGTAAGATGCAAAGTGGAACTGTCACACATTTGATTAAAAAAGCACCAGATATTTCATCGTGTTTTCAGATTTATGTGTATGTTTGATTAAGGAAGTCGGTTAGGCTCAACAGAAAGTCCTCCCGCCATATAGTAATAATGGCTAGGGTTAGTTTGACCTAAGTGGGTCGAAATCTAGGGCGAGGCTCACCTGTACAAGTGAATGGGGGACTACCTATCACGTTACACTGGTCTAAAATGGTATAATACTCACGTCCAGCATTTTCTGGAAGGTGTCGGTATCCCCAACGAGAAGCTGCTGAGTGGACAAATACGCAGCGTTATTAACGCATACGTCCACCCCACCCACTTGGTCCTTTATGGCCCGGAACATGGATTCGATCTCAGATTTCACTGTCAGGTCACATTTCATGGGGATCAAACGTCCTGTCTCTCCTTCCAATTCTTTTGCTGTTTTCTGTGAATAAAAACAGAATGTGTATAATTTAAAAGATAGCAAATTTGCTTCAGGTAGGCTGTGTGTGTGTGTGTGTGTGTGTGTGTCCTGACATACGCGAAGCAACCACTCACGATCCGTTTACTCTCTAAGCAGAAGACACAAGTTATCTTTGGGGCCATTCAGAAACAGTAAGGTCGCACAAGCTAGTGCGCACTTATTCCACGGGGACTCTCGCTGAATGCAATCAGATTAACAGACTAACACACACTTCAGCGAGAATTCCCCTAAAGTTAGTGCGTAGGCTACTAGCCAGTGCGACCGAACGACCCCATTGTAAATTAAGAAATGTCTATTGCAACAAATCCTTACATCAGTTTCATTTAGTCTGTCACATCGATAGTGTTTCCCCCATAATTTTTTATTTCCCTTAAAGATGCATACAAAGTCAATTTTTTGTCACAAAAACCAACCAAATGCCAGCATATAGTTTCAAGTAGTATAACTAAGAGAATTACCAAAAGGCATTGTTTAATTTTACCCGAAAATGATGTTTGAACGGATTTTTCTGCTGGCATTCTAAGCTGTATGTCAATGGGGCAGGAAAGTAGGTCACGAAAGTAGGTTAAATTTACAACCAAAAATTTAAAGAAAGGAGCAGTCTAAAGGTCTTTTATGGTTGATCGAGTGATCTATTCAGTTTATCCCTTGGCATGTCGAATTTATTTGAGTCATATAAGAATCTAGTAGAAGTGGTTTTCATGTGTTACTGGGAATCCACGCTCACCGATGCTCGGTTCGTATGTACCTTTAAACATGAAAACCTTACCTCTATCAGTTCAACTCGGCGAGCGCACCCCACAACTGTCATACCGTGTTTCACTAGTGCGCGACAAAACGCCTCGCCTATCCCTGTTGACGCCCCGGTTACCAAGGCAACTCGACCGCTCCAGCGTTCCATAGTAATTGCTAATAGTAATAACA